TTAAATGCAATTACAATGCCTACAGTAGACAAATGAACCGGGGACTCAAAGGTGCAGAAGAATGAAAAGTTAGTTTATGGCTTAGACTTTGCGAATTCTTAAGACTTGAGAAGGAGTCGCAGTTGGCTGTTTTTCTGTAGGTCGTCGGCTTTTTGTAGCCCAAGAGCAGCATTGGGGCAACTAAGAAGTCTTCGGATTTCGAGGCAGGTGCAATGCAACAATTATGCTCACATTATGCGCAGCGACAAGCAACGAGAACATAAGAGAGCAAACATAACGAAAGCAGCGAATCAGTCCACCGACAGAAAAAGAAAAAAAAAAAAACAACAAATATAAAGTGATTCTAAATTTAGAAGTAGTGCCTAGGGGGACTGGCGAGATGGCCTCACTCTCAATATCTGGGGTTGCTTTTCTAGGTGATTAACCGCACAGGCCTGCAGCTCCCCTCTACGAGATGTTGTCGAGATGCGATGAATCTTCGGACGACTTCTAGTTGCAGCCCAACGCAAGCGAAAGACTTGCGACATCTATTTATACCCTGCACCCATTAAAAATAGGTAACAACAAAGGGTATGTTGCTTTCCTTAGTTATACTCTGAAAACTACACCTCAGCCCAGCAACTGTTGTCCGCCTAACAGAGAGAGAACTTATTGAAAATCGATGAAGCAGATAATAAGATATCGAAATAAAAATAGCTTCAGAAATAAACAATCAATTTAATAATTATATCTGAGCATAAAACCACATTTGTCATAATTGTACGATTATATCATTTATTTAAGTTCCATATATCGAAGTCAAATTACAAAACAATGAGACTCTCTGAAATGGGACTTTGATAAACAAGAAATAGAACCATTTTGACAGCTAGTTGAATCATGCGAAAGGGGTTTGCTTTGAAAATACGGTTTATTTTCTGCGTAATTATTTATGTCAGATATACGTGGACCTACAATCCAAACTTGTTATTCTTAACTTTTTTAATCTCCATAGATATATAGATATAATCGAAAAACATGTTTCCAAATCGTTAGTAAGCGATATTTTGAGAATCAGGAAAATATTAAAGAAATACGGCAGCCTGCTCTCATCGTCTGGTCAGGATATATTTAGAGTATTGGTCTCAAGACGCTAATTTATAAATACAATCTAAGCTCCTCTAACGGGCACTTCACGGCTAAGCAAAAGAACCTACGCTTCAAAGACTGGCACAAAATGTATTTTAAGAACTACTAATCAAATTCGAGACTTCCCTGAATAAAGAGAAATCATAGCAAAAGCATAAAATGATGGCACTGAAGATGAGGCACATTCAAATAGCTCCGCGTTAAGAACATAACATACGTATATCAACCAATTTTTGAAAGACAATTTATTTGTGTTCGGATATTTATGAAATTTAGAACGACAGTTACCAAATAGACCATTGGTCCCTCTAATGGATCAGCGCAGTCAAGGCTGCAGCTGCACTGCTTCTTCCGTTTGTCACAGACGGCGGGAACTGCTTTCGTAACATGCATCGGTGTTTATTGTCCGATCTTTATGAAATCTTAAGGGTGATCAGTAAGTTAAATATTCTCGGGAGTCGCAGAAAAAAAATGGGTCTCTAGCTCTTTCGACGGCGTGAGCAGTAGAACTTATGTAAAAGTCTTTAGCTCGAAAGACTCTGATAACTCAAAGTAACTTATACGGACGGAGGGACTGAGAGACAGACATGGCTAGATCGATCTTGTAATTTTACTTTGATAAAAATATGTCGAAAGCTTTATTTCATTTTTCTTTATTGAGCTAATTTTATTTTTAGCCACTGACCTGATATATTTTTCTGTTGCTTTTCTCGTTTCAGACATTTTGTGTGCACTGTCTGTTGACTTTATTTATTTTATTGAGGGAAATTGAAATTTTAATGGCAAATTTGTCGTCACTTCTTCTTGCATTGACTCGCAATTAATTTGCTGTGTCTTTTGCTTGTTTTTTGCTTGTATAGTTGCGGCAAATGGCATAATTTTAATTGATGTGAATTGCAGCTTATAGTAGCCTCGGGCTGTTTAGCTCGCTGCGAGACGAAATGCTTTTTGTGGGCTAAGTGTAGAAATCTATTTTGCCGCAGACAAAAAACTGTTAGCCAAACGCTTTAAACGTGTCCATGAGTAGAACACTCGACGAGAGAGTGGCACATCGACTCCGACTCCGACTCGAACTCGAACAGAATCAGCGGATGACCCCCAGAAAATAGCGCAGCAACAACAATTGCGGGCTGCTATTGAGGAAGTCATAGACCCCGAGGCCTTTATCGGAATAGCCGTGAAACCTGGCACATGTGACCTGTTGAGCTCTTTGTGAGTTTTGTGTTTACTGAAATAGTAGCTCCGTAGCTGCTCATCAGCGTTTTCTCAATTTACAAATAGCCAGATATTTATTTACATGCGTTTGAGCTAAGCATATATACAGCCCGATTAAATAGAAACTCATTTGAGTCAACAGCTGCCTTTTGGGCGCAACTGTATCAACAGCCAGTAAAGCAGCTGAGAAACAGAACAACCAATAGAATTTGTTAGTTAATTGTTGACAAGCGGATCACACTTAATCTAGAACAGTTGGGCTCAATTAATCTCTCGCAACTTTGAACTCAAATTTATTATTGAAAAGAAAATTTCATATTTTTTATTATAAATGGTTGACTGTGACCAATTTGTATACCCTGAACCCATTGAAAATGTTTAGAAAGTGTATAATGGATTTGTGCAAAATGTAAATGTATCTAACAGGCAAACAGCAGCATCTCCGACCCCATAAAATATATAGATGCTTGATCAGCATCAACAGCCAAGTCGATCTCGCCATGTAAATCTCAGAGCCCATAAGCAACAAATAATTGAAATTTTGAAAGAAGGACCTACTAGTGCCTTTACGCAGTGCGAGTTTGATTTAGATAGTCGATAATTTGTCTCTTTCCAAGCAATCGATAAGAACTAATATCTAAATCTTGTTTTTGAGCTAATTTCTTTGGTTTTAAGAGCTAGAATAACTGAATTTGTAGCTCAAGTGTTTTTAAATTATTGCTACCCCCTTCGAATTAAAGCAAACTACACACCAATTTCAGCCACAACTATACTGTTTTTGTTATTATGAAATATACAAATATGCTATAGCACTATTATGTGGATATACAGAAAAATGCATGCAGATTGGGTAAGGTATAAAGGAGATATTAGTAAAAGGATACTAGGTAACATCACCTAGAATGCGAGAGTTATAGTATACAAGTGTCGGGCTCGACCGACTAGAGCACCTATCTTTGTATTATTAAAAAAGGTCAATTATATGCAATAGTTTGATCCCATAGTTAATTAATAATTATAGCAAACAGTTAGTATTTCAAGTATATCTATTTTTATATCTACATGGTTGGCATCAGTGTAAGGGTCCAATGCTTAGAGGTTTAAAGTTAGCCTCATAAAAGGGGGAATTATTAGTTGGAACCAGTTTTATTGAAAATCGTCTGGCAGCTGAGAAATATATTAAACTTTTGTTTAATCACAGCTTTGATGACAACCTACATAAGGTTGGCGGCAGCACAAAAGAAAAACTCTCCCTTTCTCGTTTCTCCGCAATCGTTTCTTAGAAAGAACCGCCGTTTGGAATACGCCACTGAAAACTAATTAAAATAACAAAAAATTTATTCGAGCATTGGAAAAAGTGAAAATCGTTTGCCTGTGTCACAAAATTAACGACTAACTCAAGGGAACCTTAATCCGTGTTTATATTGTGATTCGTTTATTATTACTTTTTTGATGCTGGAATTTGTGTTTAAAACAGATAAAAGTTTCGTTTTTAATAACATAAAATCTTTAGATGTATGCGTACTAGCCTAAAAAAATAAATAACAATTTACACGTGGGCCCAGGAAAATTTTAAATTTCCGTGAAAGTCTCCGACCCTACGCCTTGAAGAACTTTTTTAATGAGAACACAGCATTTCAAATAAACAACTAAAGTTGTTGCAGTTAAAGAAGTGCACTTGCTTTCAATTCAAATGAGAAATTCTTCTAGAATTCAGTTTAAAATTAGGTCGATCGATCGATCTACTTGCGAAGTGGCATCCCACTTTAACACGTTTTTTTAAAGATATTATTTTCTCCTTGAAAAGACACCAAATTTTCAAGAAAAGGCGGTGCTACGCGACGCGAATCATATTCTTATACCTAGGTTGGACTCGTAATCCAGGTTTACCATGCCTTGGGGCACAGGTTTTCTTTCAAGATCTGGCATGTTATATATTTATATTCAATGAAATAATGTTAAAATTCGTCCTAGTTTTATTTCTGTACATTTTTTCATATGCAATATATTTAGTAGAAAGAAATAAATAAATGCAGTGCTTGGGGTCCACTTTATTGATGCTTGGAGGCTGGTTCCTTCTCAAAATTAGTATGTTTTGAACCAAATATGGTAAGGTTTTGGTTCGGTTTCGGCAGTTTTTAGATACATTTCATTATTCCAACCAGCCTTGCAGCATTTCATACACAAATAAGTGAAAATTTTAGCTTACAAATTCTGACAGCTTGGGCTGTGCGTTAATTATCATTCAATCAGTCCGTCAATCAAGACAAACTGAATGATGAATTTAAAAGACAAATTTAACTGTCAAAAAGAATCTGATCAAATATAATAAAATTGGCGTAGATACAAGATCCAATAGGATCACAGCAGCATCTAATTTGAGCAACATAAGAAAAGCATTATGTGCCATGCCGCAATTCTATAAAAAACAACCTACAAGATATACAAACTGCATCTAACGATAAATTTACACAATCAGAGTCGCAAGATGAACGAGGGGGAGAGACCGACAGAAAGAGAGAGCGAGAGAGAGAGAGAGACGTAAGACAGGCACACATAGCCCCCAATTTTGTATATTAATTTGAGAAACGCACACACACACACACGCACAGACACACACACACAGGCACACACACACGCCTAATGCGATCACTCACCCTATTGCATTCCAAGGCAGCGGCGCTGTGCTCCTCTCGCTGACGAAAACAATGGCTGCATTTGCTCTTGTTGAATATATTTGGTGAGAATTTACGGCAGTCGGCAATACGTCCGCTGCTCGCAGTTGGCGGGGGCGACGCAGCTGAAGTCGATGCTGTGTTTGCTGTTGCTGTTGCTGCTGCTGCTGCTGCTGCTACTGGTGCGACTGTTGTTGTTGTTGTTGCTGTTATCGTTGAAGTTGACATTTTGGCAGTTGGGCTGGATATTCGCTCAGCCGCTTCACGTTTTCAACTTAGAATCTGTCGACAAGCTTTGCACTCTGCTCAGCGTTGATGCTCGGGGCTTAGCGCCATTGCGTTTACACACTGTTTGGACTCTCTCTCTCTCTCACACCCTCTCTCTCACACACATACACAAATATAAGACACTGAGAATGGCCTGAAAACGACGACACCCAAAGCCAATTTAAACAATTTTGCACAATTTACTTTCTCTTATATTTTTCGACACTTGATAAAGCAGACGCAACGGGAGTTACGGCAACTACAACGGGCGCGGTCCAGGCCGGGCAGCCTTACATATTTATGCAAATGCGCCCCTCACAGACACGCATTTGTTTTTGTTGGTGTTGGTTCCTTGTGGAACACAGACGCAGCGGCGCAGCAGCCGGCACTGCTTGAATGTTCTTGTGGTTGATGTTGTTGTTGTTTTTCTTTTCTAATTGCTGCAAAATTAGCAAAATATTCGCTGAATCAGCTGCCTGTCGTCGTTTGCCGTTTCAATTCACGTTTGGTTTCAATTTCCTTCGTAACTGTTATGCACTTCAGCTTTGCCGTTTAGATTTTGATATCAAACTTTATATTTTTGGCATGGCAAGCAAATAATACGAATACGAATAACAAAACATACACATACACGTACGCACACAACTCACACTCACTCACACACACGCGACACACTAAAAAATTATTCAATTTTGCTTTGCACTTGGCTTCTCCATTGGACGGACACCAACAAAACACACGGCTGAAGTTTTGCTAGACGCTGACGCGCGCTTTGTAAATATGCTGGCTGCTCTCGGCACAACGAATCGGTTCGAATGCATACACGACACTGACACGCCAGCCCCAACAAGTCGCGCCGCAACCAGTCGAGCCGAGCGCCAAAACCAAAACGAAACAGCGAGAGAGACTGACAAAACCGGGAGAGCGCTTAAGGTTGTGTAAACCCAAGGTGGCCAGAGTGGTAGCTAACGCAACATTTAAACTCTCTTTCGCTCTTTCGCTCGTTATGAGATATGGTCTAAGAATTCAACACTTATGTTATGAATTTGTATGATTGGAATTTCTCTAGTTCACTATTTATTGAAATTGATATTTTTGATAGCCAAACTATTTTGATAACATTCTCAAGAAGTACAATACATATTTTCTTTATGTATTTACTTTATTTATTAGAAGGTTATGGTTACCTTTGTTACTTATGTAGATGTATGTACATACCTGTTGCTTCTTTATAAGCAAATGCTTCAGAGTACTCTGACATCACAACAATGCTCTCTTATACGAGGCCGCTAGGCATTCAACACGAAGTTGCTGATCAGTTCAAACAGCTGCTTCTGTTGTTTCCAACTTGGTTTGACAGCAAAACTGCTGACTGTTTAGCGGAATTTCAGCTTGAAAAAGCTAAATGTTTTCTGAAGCTCGCGAGAGTTAAAGCGAACAGCGAACGAAATCAATGAGTTAGGATTATGTTCGAGCCAGGTAATCATAGTTTTTTGTAAATATGTACTATCAGTTTATATAACACCGTTTACTCTAACCAACTGATTCGTCATCCATGTACAGTCAAACCGCACAGCTGGGAAGTTGCAATATCTAATATTTATATTATGTGAAATTCCACCCGCATTTTTATCGACCTGAGGCCCATTTTCATAGATTTTTATAAAAACTAATTCGAGAAGTGTTTCACTCTTTTCGTAAAACCCACCCTGCTGGGTGGGGACTGTACGAGCGAATGATTTTGTCGTCTTTAGTTTAAAAAGCCTGTTTTCTGTCATAAATGAACTTTTTACTCATGTGCGGGAATCTAAAATTATAGGCAAGAAACCTAGCCCAAGCAAGGCCAGGAAATACCCACAAGTAATATAAATTATATACGATTGACTTTAGGGTAATTCATTTTTAAGCTAGAGAGTCATTTGACCCTCCCCCCGCCACGAAAAGTATCCCAAAATGATTAGTTTATGGCAACCAGAATATCAGCAGCAACAACAACAACAACAACAACAACAATGCAGCAATAAACAACAATGAACTGTACGGTTCATTAGCAGCCTCAGACAACCTATTTTGGAGTGCGCAACAGCAGTAAGGGAGAGGCATCGAGAGAGAGCAAGATAGAGAGAGATAGCGAGAGAGAGAGAGAGAGGCAGAGAATGAAATAGACCGAAACGAACCCTTTTTATGCAACAGTAACAAAGAGAATGGAAAAGAATTGATTAATTAGGTTCATATGTTTGTTTAGATGAGGTGAAAAGAAAAGCCAAGGGAAAGGTGCGAAACGCATTCGAAATATTTTGACTCACGCCCTTGAATCATGGTGCACTCAGGGATCAACTTAGAGAATCTATTTCATATAGTATATATGTACCTGCAAAACGTACACACACACATGGCATTCTTGATTATTTTGGGTCTTATGAGAATACAGAGCGCAAGGATCCAAACTTAGAAATGAGACTTTTTCCAATCTGCAGGAGTGAAGGCAGGTAACCGACTAGTTAAATACTTTGATGTCAAGTTTTGCCCGTGGCAATTTAAATCTACCCGCATTAGACACAGGATAAACTTAAAATGCAGCCGATCGGATTAAAAACAAAAAATTTGTATACTAACATTTTCCGTTGCTCCGAATGGAATTTCCCGAATCGCTGAGGCCTATATTCATTAAGTTCTTAAGTTGAGCTTTGAAAATAGGTTTGAAGCAGATCGGACCAGACCTAGAATGTCGTTCAAAAATATTATTGGAAATAAATTAGATGGAGTTTCCGAAAAGAAGAAGAAAAGAAAGAGTTTCCGAGATTTTTGAAAATGAGTGCAATTTATCAAAACTCTGCTTTTTCAGGTAAATTCAGTTAGGTTTTCTGCCTAGCCATCACCTGTTGCTCTGATCAGCCATCAGTCAGTCAGATAGTTATATATATATATATATAGACTCACAAAATATTTGTATATATTGAAATAACAAGTCTTTAGCATATTATACATTTCTATCTATTTTAATCTCAGAGTTCGACGCAATATATTGCATGGATACCTTTATATCGTTTTACCCCATTTTCGAATTATATTAAAATTATACCTTTCTTATTCCTATACCTTACGGGTACGTATTTGTCCGGCAGAAGTAACGCCCCGGGCTACTTTTAAACACTAAGCACAGAACTAAATCTATTTCGCTCTGAGTATTGCTCAGGTAATTGTGGAAATACCTGCAAAATGCTTTACGGCATATTGATTTCTATTGTCGTTATTGCTGCCGTTGGCTGACGATCGTTTTTTCATTTTGCACTCTCATTCAAATGTCAAACGAGTCACGCGCGTCTGTGCCCCACACAAACGGAGACAATATGAACTCTACATAGTTCCCGAGCTATTTATACCCTGAACCCATTGAAACGGCCGTAAGGAGTATTATGTTTTCATACATATTTATGAAACTGACAGAAGGAAGCATCTATATACTATGTATTCCCGATAAGGCCAATAATCTAGGTCGATCTCGGTCTGTATTCGTAGCAGTACTCGTCTACGAATCTTCCCGAGTCTGTTCTTGTATCTGTATCTGTAAATGGCATCTCGCAATATCTGTATTTCTGTCGTTCGTTCAGTGATCAAAAAATGAAAAGCCAGACTGAAGGCATCGTCATGCTTTCGACAAAGTGTTTTGTAATTATTAAAAATTCGAGCCCTTTTGACAGCAGCTCGTGGCAGATTTTCCTATGGCTCGAATTCGGAAAACGGGCGAGGCTGAAATGCAGCACATGCCAGCCAGATACAAACTTGTTGTCACAGTTATTGTTGTTATTGTTATTGTAGTTTTTGTTGTTGTTGCCGTCGCCGTCGCTATATATTAAATTGATTGCAGCTGCAGACAGCACACAACGGCCCGCCGAACACCGACCCCAATCACACTTTCACTTTTCTATGCTAATTTATAAATAAAAAAACGAGCTCGAAAAAAGCAAACACACAATTTTTATAAGGCGCATTTTCTGTTTTCGGATTGGTCCTTTTACAGTTTTAGGTGCATTGACTTTACAGGTATATGGAAAACAATTTAATTTTTATGGCCGCCACTTTAAAAACGCCTTTCATTGATGGCATTTTGATTTTGTTGTTGTTGTTGCTGTTATTCGTTGTCTTGAGCTTTTGGCCACGTTAGGGTCGCTTGATTAATTTATTTTTAATTTTAATGCCGCTTTGGAGTATTTAATCAAAATATTTGTCTAGTCTTCGAAACAGCTCAAAGCGTTGGTAATTTTGGACTTCAGTAGACGAGCCGCTTATTTTACTGCCACAGGTATTTACAGGTTTCGAGAATCAAAAATGTGAGTGCACAACAGCGACTTGTCTTCATTCAACGGCAGCCAGAAAACAAGCCTTACGGATTGAATTTAAATTAAATGTGCCTGTTTTTTTATTATTATTTTTTAAAATAGCTGCAAGCTCTTTCAGATGTAGAAAACTGGTAAGTATTGTGTAACCAAAACCGAAACTGTTAGCGTATTTGAAAATATTACTCGATAGATTTGTAGAAAACGGCCGATGACCATTTTGTACGTAAACTCGAAGAGCTTCAAACTCATATCCAGTCCATCTTGCAGCTCGCACGTCTATTCATCTGTTGGTATAAACGTACTTTCTGCACGAATTTTTGTGCCCTAATTGGAGCTAGGTTAAATAAACTAAATCCCTAAACCCAATTGCTTTGGAGAAACAGTCTTTGAGTAAGCAATAATCAATTTCAAGAAGACCCCTTTCGATTCAAGTTGATGTCACATAAGAAGAGAGCATTCCACAGTCTGCCTTCCATTTCATATATATAAATATATATATATGCTCGCATTACTAGCAACTGTATAAAAGCCTCTAACTCCAGGCTTTTTATAGTAATAGGCAGTCAATAGAGGTCTTCAGGTCTTAGGTAAGCGCTTGGGGTGCAGCACTTGGTGAGTTTCCGTTTAAGACGGTAGTCAATTAAAAAATCAGTTCCAAAACTTGATCATCAAAAACTCATTGGCAGCAACACTTCCTCGACGAGGAAGCATTGTCAGAAAATAAAAAATATAAAACCAGACGTTGGGCGTTAGCTCAGGCAGCTCAGGTAACTCAGGCAGCTCAGCCAGGCCAGTCAGCCATGGCCCGAGCAGCCAAAACGAGCTATGTATGCAGCAAACTAGCCAAGCGGCCGATCTGTGACCATTTGCCTGTCCGACGGCAGCCACCTGCGAACAATTTCCCATAGGAAAAAAATAAGCTAAAAACTCGTGAAAAACGCCGCAAATCGACGTCTGACAGTCTATGGCTGGTACCAATTTGCCGTCGATTCGCGACTTGCGCCAGCTCTTGGGCGAAGAGAAGCGCATAGCGGGGCGCGGGCGAGATACGTGCCACAAGAGGAAATCGGGGAGGCGTACATAGACCTTTTGTGAAAGTGAAAATATTTGCAAAGTGTGTGCGCAACTGCAGCGGCAACGGCAATGAGTGCTACTTTGTTTCCCCTGGAATTTGAACAGCCTGATCGCACATTGGATACCCTAGTAAAATGATGAATCAAAACTCAATGATAGACTAGACAACTATATTATTTAGCTGCCCAATTTCATATATTCGCAAATATGGCTTAAGTTCGAAGAGTATTCAAAGTCGGCTTGAAACTAACGCACGTCAAGTGCGGCACTTTGATAATGGACTCCACGCGCGTGAATAATAACAAGCAGCGTTTCATTAACATGAAAAACGAAAATTGAAAAAAAAAAAGTAAATGTTAAATTGAAATTGGAAAATGTTGCAAAAATTGTTAGCCGAAAAAGCTGAAGTAAAGAAAACGGCGCCTGACATCTGACGTGCGCTGGCAGCCACTTTGGTAACTTAACCAGCTTTTGGCTACTTAAAATTGCGTATACGTATTGCGGTCTCAGGTTGGGTTGGCTGAGTCAGAGGCTGGACTTGAAGCTGGCGCTGAGCTTGGGGCTTATGTCTCTGCCAATTGACATTACCGGTTGCTCGATTTCTGGGAAAGTGCAGCGAATCAGCGAATCGCCGGACACACTTATTTTTCGGACAAGGCGACAACAGCATAATTTACCGTTAGCTCTTCATCATTCACTGGAAAAGCTGGAAAAGCTCACATTTTGAACCAACTCAACAAACAGCAGACACGCAGCACGCAAAGCCAAATCCGAGTGCTGATTTCCTAGTCAACCGCTTTTTTTTATTTACTTATATTTTGGGTATTTGGCGTGTCTTATGATTTATTTGACATGACACTCAACTGAACAGAAATTTATTTTTCATTGCTGCATTTTTAATGATTTTCTGTTCAGTGCGAGGCATTTCAAATTGAGCCAGACGAAGATTGAGACACAGACAGAGACACGCAATGGCCGCCCAGTCGAGTACATGTCCAGTCTCCTCCACCGGGCACCCCGTCCACAGCGACCATTCCCATACACAGTATAGACATTCGCACCCAGTGTCCACGGCTCGGTGCTCAGTTCTCTGTGGCTGTGTGTGGGTTGCAGTAGTGCAGCTCCAATTTGTGCACCTGCTGGCAAATGCAAAAATTAATTATAAATCGTTCGAGCAATTTTAAATCAAAGTGCAACTGGCCAACATGCAACGCAAAACCAGTGCAAGTATTCTAGTTGTAGCTGGTTGATACCCTAGTTAATACCCTGTACACAGTCTCACTTTATATAACTTCAGAGCATGGCGTTTGTCCAAATCGAGAGGACGGGACTTATCCGATTATATTTTTTCGGCTTCCTATACCTCCTACGATTTAGTAAGAAGAAATATTTCAGACACTCGATCTTTAAAATAAATAGAAAGCCGTTTTCAGTTTTAAGATTAGAGATACATAAAACTCAGTATGTAGCTCCGATTTTGAATAAATCGGAGACAAGACAGACAACTTTGTATGCAATAAGTAAGCTCTAAAATGTTATTTAAGATCGGACAACAAACACCAAAGGTATTGAAGAGGGCACAAGGGAGAGTTCACATGTTTGTTACGGCAGCTAGTTACTGGGATCGATTGTATACTAGTTGATTAGAGCACTCCTTCTTGGTTTTTGGATCTTACAATTTGCCAATGCGATCACTATTTGATAAATAATATGTATAAGATACCACTCAGTTTGCGTTATACGCTCTAAAATCATCCTAGCCGATTTATGGAAGGGAACTAAATATTAATTTCACTTTTGGCTGCACTTGACCCACTCTCTTTTTGAATAAAGGCGAAGTGCGAGTGCGTCGTCAGAGCAACAGCTGCGCCTATCAGAGCTGCAAATAAATCAAAAAAAAAAAAAAAGAAAAAAGAACACAGCGGGATGTTGGTCAACAGGCTGACTAACTCACCGACTCAGAGTCAGACTCCGACTGCTCAGACTCAGACTGAGATGCCTCAGACTTTAGTTTAGAAACGCAGACTGGCTCGCTGGTTACTGCTGCTTAGTCACGGATAACAAAATTAAGAGCCTTCATAAAATCGCACAGAGAGCCGAAATCACAAAAAGAACCACACCAACAAAAAAAAAAGCAGGCGATAAATACGCGGCTGTAAAACAAATTCAATTAAGTAACGAACGATATGGAAATGCAAAGTAAAAGTCTAAGCGTCTAAGAGTGTGGGCCTTTAAAATGCATTTCGTTTGCGTATTTAATTGGATTTTTATTGCCATTCGAATTGGGAAAGTAAAAGAAACCCCCATGCACGCCCATGCCAGCCAGATGTTATTACCAATCCGTAGCCGGTTAACCTTCTGACTTTACGTAAGCAAAGTGCACAATGTGGCAACCACATTTAAATACAATTAGCAGTTATGATTTTCACTTTTCTTATGGCTGCAATTTACCATTGTTGCCGCCACACTCGAGCCCATGTGGCAATGTGCAACAGCAACAACAATAGTCGAACTCATGGGTGCAATGGCCAACGGACACGTGTGTCTAACTTCGCCTGGGATGATTGCCTGGGATGTTGGACGGCTGGACATGGTAATTTCATAAGACTGGCGATCAGCTCAGCCCGAATCATTTTCGATTGCAAAACGGCAACGGCAACGGCGGCAACAACAATGTAGCATGTTGCACATATTGGTAAAAAGGGCAAATAGCCAAAATGAATGCGCAATGATTGGCATGCGAGTTGCAACAACAACGCCAGAGGTGACCAATTGCCCAAAAAATATAAAATGAGTGCACTTAAGATATTCATATGGCAGACAAATATATAATTATGTTCTAACATCAAAATTGCATGCTATACGAAAAGCAAGAAGAAATATTGCAGATGCTGCAATGTATTCTATTTACTTTTATTTTAAACCGTTTCAAATGGCATTAAATGCTAATAAATCACAATTGAGTACAAGTAAGAACGTGGCAGTGGCAGTCTCTCCAGGCAAGTACTCATAGAAAAGTCGAATGCTGATCAAGTTTTGCTCAGCTTCAAATATACTCTAGTTTTGAGGGGCTGCCATCATTAGCAGTTTTCTAGTCGTCGGTGAATTTTCAATAAAAAATAAAAAGATGAAATTACACACGAAGTGTAAAAGAGAATAATTTTAATATAAATACACTTTTCTGTTTATATAAAGTGCAGTCAGTTTATTTAGACGGAAGTCGATAGCACTCGCTTTGCAGGCGAGTAACTTTCTCTATTATTGACTTGTGTCGAAATACCAAAATAAATAAATGACACCTCAACCGCATCAGAAATGTTGTTTTACACACTTTCAAGTGATAGAAAATTGTTTTATTCACGGCCTGCCACGGCGACGTCAGCGTCGTCGACGTCGTCAACTTGACCCAAACACCTCACTTAAAAATGTTTACAAATTACGACTTAATCGCGTGCTGCTTGAACCCTACAACAACCACAATCACAACTACAAGTATAACACCAGCCACAACCAGCACAACAAGCACAATAACAGCGAGAAGAAGAAGAGGGAGAAGAGGAAGAAGTTGCGACGTCAGCTTCAAGTTCAAAGTAAGACAGAAAACAAACTTGGGAACTGTGTACGACAGTCTGGAGGCATTGAAATTCTTTCAGTCTACTGTCATTCAGTCATTTTATACTCTGTGCAACAACTTAACTAGGGTATACTGCCCGTCTGATTTTTCAGACTTGAAATATATATATATATACTCAAATTTCATCCATTTCTTCCACACTCTCTCAAAAAGTCTAGTGATGACCGATTTCTGAATTTTTCCAGTCGGAAAGTTCTGCTAACTGAAGCTGTTTTTCAACATTGAACAGAGTATTGCGCAATCGGTTGCACTTGTTTTCAAGCGTCTTACTTGTTGCTTTTGACTTCTGTATTGGACCTGAACAATGGCAAATGTTTTTCTAGACTTAATTAACACGAACTTGTAAAAAGTAAAACAGCATATCTTGGACGCGGAGCTGTGTTCGTGTGACGTGCCATTAGGCGCCTGACGCCAGCTCTGACCTTGTCCAATGGACCACCAAGGACTGGATGGCTCGGAGACCCGGGCACCTGTAACCCCACACACGATTCAATGTTTAATTATTCTAATTGCTTCTCAGCTTACAGCTAAGCCCGGTCTTCCTTCTTCCACAGCAGTCTGGCATTGATTGATGAAGTGCAATTGGTTGGATTTGAGTGACAGAGTTGAACGTCGACCGTCGCATGTCACCCAATAAGCGAAGAGAATTTCTAGAGCACTTTTAGATTTAAGAAGTCCTGACCATTTGAATCGTATAGTAAACCAATATCTGGACACACCCTGACGATTTCACGCAACAACAACAACAAAAACCTCAAGTACAACAGAGAATTAATATAATTAATAATATTTCTATATGTGCACATATATCCCGAACAGGTAATGATAACTGCATCGCAGTGCTCCTCCAACCCCCGGGCCATCGGCAGGCAACAGGTTGCCCGAAGACGTGCAAATTGAATAAATGGATGAATAAGGTGGAGCAACGTTTGGACGTGCAAAAGACAACGAGAGCGAAAAATCAGTGTTTGGTCAAGTAACAGCAGAGATAACACCGACGGCTGCGGACATCATCCAACAGCAGAAAATAACAATCATAATTACAGCCTAAGAGCAAATAGTTTTTTTGCGCGCTCTTTGTAAGCTGCTGTCCACTCTCCTTCTGAATTGCTTTGCTTGCATTGCTGCCCTTCGCTCTAACCGGCGAGCGTCTTATTGGAGTTTCGTTTCGATTCGCTTTACATATTGTCATAACCAGTCAGTCTTTCGTTTTGATCGCAACCTAGGCACAACTAATTCGAGTTGGCTGCCAAGCAACAATTTAAAACTTATAAATTCTAATAAGTGCCCTGCGCGGCAAATAAATCCATTTGAAAACTAATCTAAGTGTTTGAATTTCGCTGCACAAGCAGTTAGAATTAATTGGTTGCAAAAAAGCTTGCAACTACACATTTTGGTGACCCCGACGTGATTTTTCTTTCTTTCATTTTTTCTATTTTTTCTTGTACTTCGTTCTTGTCGTGTCAACGGACAGTTATCAGTTCGGGCAAAGCTGTGTGGTGAGCCGTTTGCTTGCGCATCTGCATACAGTTGGTTGTTATACATAAACGCCGTAGCAAATCCCCGCTAATCGTTGCGCGCTATAACCCGCTATACGCTATCTCGCTCGAACGAACACTTGCGCGATCAGACTTGTATTGTAGTTCGGCTGTGTGAACCTTGTTGTGCGCTACATTCATAATGTTTGATGAAGGTGCAAGTGCAAATGGAAATGATGAGGCGACATCAGCTAGTCAAGTGGCGGTTGGAACCCAGGCTGCTGTTTTTAAAATAAAGATCAAGAATTTAACTGATCGACTCAATAGATTGTCCTCGGAACTTGATCCCGCTCGACTTCGCGATGTTGATGACTACGAGCTGCAAGATTACATAAGCATGGCATCTGACTTGCAGGCGAAATTTGAGATAGTCTGTGATGGTTTGTTGGAGGTGGATCATGCCAGCGTTGATGAGGATCTTCAGACAAGTTTTGAGTCAACTATTAGGCAGCTACGGCTGTCCCTTCAACGCGAGCGCGGAAATCGAAGCAAGGTTCAGCAGATTCCGCATTGTTCCACCTTCAATTCAGCCGCAGCCGATGACTCGCGTTCTACCTTTGTTGTTCCAAACCACTCTCGATTGCCTCAACTTAAATTGCCGGAGTTTAGTGGAGGCTACACAGAATGGGCCGATTTCTCGAACCTGTTCACCACGGTCATTGACAAGGATCCGTATTTGACCAACATTGAAAAACTCCAGCATCTACGGTCATGCCTTAAAGGAACAGCGCTGGATACAATTCGCTCATTGGAAATTTCAAACGCAAATTATGCTGCCGCTTTAGAACTGCTTGATAAGCGTTTTAATAACAAGCGTCTTATTTTTCAGGCACACATCTCTGAAATTTTGGGTTTGAGAAAGGTGGACAAGGGCGCGACTGCACAGCTGCGCGAATTTTCAGATAAGCTCAACTCTCATCTACGTGCTTTAAAATCGATGGGCAGTGTGGAACAGATCGCCGGTTGCGTCATAGTACATACGTTGCTGCAAAAACTAGATAGCGTTACGCAGGCTAGCTGGGAGGATGATGCGCCGTTGGACGTCATACCATCATGCGAGCGGTTTACAACCTTCATAGAGAGGCGTTGCCAAAGGCTGGAAAATGCGGATCACGCTACGGCAATGTACACGCCTAGCTCCCAGGTGGGCCAGAACAACAGTAGTAGAAGAACGTTTGTAGTGACTAGGAATGGAACGAGTGCTTGTGTGTTTTGTGAAGTCGCAGGCCACTCTATTTATAAATGTTTGCAATTCGCAAATTTATCGCCCTTGCTGCGCCTTCACGAAGCCAAGCGGCTTGCGCTGTGCCTAAACTGCCTGCAAAGGGGACATCAGCTGAGAGTCTGCGGCTCCAGCGCTTGCAGAGTTTGTGGAAGCAAACATCATAGCTTGTTGCATCTTGGCAACACAAGCAGTCACATCGCTGCTTCTAGCCCAAACAATGCTCAAGATACCGAAACTTATTCGTCATCCCAAAACACCTTGGCGGCACTTTTATCTTCGCCTCTCACTACCGCCCAGCATCTCAAGCACGATGTGGTCCTGCTTGCCACTGCCGTCATCAACGTGAAAAATCGCGCTGGCTCCTTGGTGCCTTGCCGTGCGTTGCTCGACTCTGGGTCGCAGTTGCACATCATCACCTCTCGTCTTGCTCATCAGCTCCAGCTGCGCAAATTCAAGTCAACAGCAATCGTCTCTGGCATTGGTGATGCAGCATTTGCGTCCGATGGGTTTTCGGTCAACATCAATGTCAAATCTCGAGTGTCGGAGTACTCCACATGCATCCCGGCCTTGATTGCACCATCCATCACCGATAATCAGCCTGGCTTCACTCTTGACCCTGCATCATGGAACATTCCATCAAATATACAACTAGCTGATCCTGAATTCTTTAAATCTCAGCAAATCGACATGTTGATTGGAGCCAGTCTGTTCTTCGATCTGCTATGCGTCGGCCAGATTAAACTAGCTGCTGGACTGCCGATATTGCAAAAGACTCGCCTTGGTTGGGTGGCTACGGGAGGTGCCTCACATGCTGGAAAATCATCATTCATGGCCATGAGATCAATGGAGAATCCAGATCTGCTGGTTGACTCGCATCTGCAGCCTAATACACAGATTGATGAATTAATCCGTCGTTTTTGGGAATTGGAATGCTGCACCGACCCTGAGTCCTTACCAAACAAGGAGGAACGCGACTGTGAGGCACACTTTCAGGCCAATTTTAAACGTCTGTCGACTGGCGACTATTCAGTTCGTTTACCGCTACGTCTAGGCATGTATCCGCTGGGTGACTCCTATCAACAGGCGGTTCGTCGATTCCTGAACTTAGAAAGAAAACTAGACCGTAATCCACTATTGAAACCCCAGTATGCAGCATTTATCAAGGAGTATCTTGACTTGGGTCACATGTCACTTGTTACCTCAGCTGCACTGGGCCAATGCAAGTACTACCTGCCACATCACTGCGTGCTGAAGGAGGATAGCACTACAACCAAGCTAAGGGTCGTGTTTGATGGCTCAGCAGTTACTACCTCTGGACACTCGCTGAATGATGCACTGATGGCAGGTCCTACCATCCAACCGAAGCTGTTTTCGATACTGATGCGGTTTCGTACATTTGCAGTCGCCCTGACAGGCGATATATGCAAAATGTATCGATGCGTACGAGTCGAACCCGCAGACAGTTATTTTCAATGTATCTTGTGGCGTGAGTCTCAGCATCAGAAGATACAGATTTACAAATTAGACACCGTCACCTACGGCACAAAACCAGCATCGTTTCTCTCAGTGCGAGCTATGCACCAACTGGCCATGGATGAGCAGAAAACTTTCCCTATTGGCTCTGACATTGTTAAAAGAGATTTCTACGTGGATGACCTCATTTCTGGTGGTAGCTGTGTTCAAGAAGCAATTGAGATATTGAAACAAACATCTGGACTACTCGCCAAGGGGAACTTTAGGCTGCGCAAATGGTGTTCTAGCGACACATCTGTACTCCAAAACATACCGGAAGAGGATAGAGAAACGCTGCTTAAGTTTGACGATGGCAGTGACATCACGAAAACGTTAGGCCTCGTTTGGGATCCCGCTTCAGACTGTTTCCTTTTCTCCTTCTCTCCACTGAGGTTGCCCTCCAGACTGACAAAACGGTCAATACTCTCCGCAATTGCTCGCTTTTACGACCCCCTTGGTCTTGTTGGTCCCGTAATAACAAAATCGAAAATTTTTATGCAGGATCTCTGGAGAGAAAAGCTGGACTGGGATGAGAGCCTGCCTGTACACTTAAGCACAGCCTGGGTCAACTTCTGCGCTGATTTTGAGTATACTCAGCAATTCCAGTATCCCCGTCGAGCACTCTCATCAGACAGTACAGTGGAGATTCACGGATTTTGTGATGCCAGCCTAAGCGCTTATGGAGCATGCGTCTATACAGTCTCAAAGTGCAATGGCAACACCAGCGTGCGTCTCTTATGCTCCAAATCGCGTGTCGCGCCTGTGAAAACCATCACGGTACCAAAGCTGGAACTCTGCGGAGCTGCATTACTGGCTCAACTTCTCAGCGAAATATGCCAAATGAAAGTGTTCGACTGTCGGTATTACTGTTGGTCAGACTCTGCCGTGACTTTGGCTTGGATTCGCAATGATGCTTCGAAATTCAATGTTTTCGTTGCCAACCGAGTCGCAGCCATCCAAGAGCTCACCACTGGAATGGAATGGCATCATATTCCCACCGAATTAAACCCGGCGGATATAATTTCACGAGGAGCGCTGCCTAGTGAGCTCTTCCGGTCTCCATTATGGGCCCATGGTCCGAGTTTTCTCAGTAAGGGAAAGGAAGAGTGGCCTGCCTCCTGTGTACCTGTCGAATCCTTACCAGAACTTCGACACAAGGTACTCCTCGGAACTGCAGCGCAACCGGATCTCTCGATTGGTTGCAAGTTCATCAATTCGTTTTCCAAGCTGCAGCGGGTCTTTGCTTATGTTTACAAATTTGTAAATCGAATCCGAGGAGCTGAACTAACCGTTGACCACTTGCATCATGGCACACATTGGTTGCTGCGGTCAGTGCAAATGGCTACTCTCAGCGATGACTACAAGGCATTGAAGGAAGGAAGGCATGTCAAACCGTCTAGCTCAATGGCCTCTCTTGCACCATTCCTTGACGACTTCGGCCTACTTCGCATCGGTGGACGGCTGAAAAACTCGTCGTTGGACTTCTCAGCGCGACATCCGATTATATTGCCCCGTCAGCATCCTGTGACGCGAGCAATCATAGTTTACTTTCATAAACGAAACTTACACGCTGGACCTCGCGCTTTATTGTCTTCGATTCGGCTCCAGTACTGGCCCATTGGCGGTCGAAAAACAGTCTCCAGTATTGTTGCCAAATGCATAATCTGTTTTCGTGCCAAGCCA